TATTTCTGAACAGAATATCAAATAATTAAAAACAAAACAAAACAAAGAAATGGACATAGCTAAAACCACTATTGTATATTACCCACAAATAATCTTCTAAATTGCATAGCTGTATACTATTCGAAACGAAACGCGAAGACACACAAGTAGACAATACGTTATATGAAACTTGATCACACCCCAGCCAACTGTCCAAACGAATCGCAAAGAATCAGCGGATAACAGTTGTCATTATATTTTCAGTAAGCTGCTTTTATATATATATATTTCATTTTTTTAAATATATATTCGCCACCATTCAAATTGAAGAGAATGTTTCTACCAATTTTTCCCAACGATGCTCAACATAAATAAACAAAGTTTGCGAACAAATTTAATGAAAGGTATTTAATATTGAGAAACAAAACATCCCGTGCAGATCAAATTAAACTCGCAGCTTTTTCCCTCTTATCAATTTGGTGGCGAAATTGCAATATACAGCCTGGATTCAATATTGTAGCTATATACATTGCATTCTCATATAACACTAAACAAACCAAGTCTCCATTGTGATGCGAGTAGTGACCGGGATGTCAGCTGTCGACGCTAATACGAAATGATGACATCTATTAAGCACGATAGCGAGATGAACATTTCATCAATTCAACAGGCACGTCTCGGCCCACGCTGTCGGATTTGTCCTTTATTTTCTCCTCCCTGTCAGTGTTTACCTGGCCGCGTATCAAGTTACAGGGTAATTATTAGATTGGGAAGACTTGAACTTCTTATGTGTCGCATCACAGCTGGAAATAACAAAAGCTGAGATGAAATGCAAACAAGGCATTTAAATATTACCATATTCTAGTACAAATTAAAGTGAAAAGAAAAAAAAAAACTCGACCTTCCTCTCGGATCCCATCCACTCCCTTGTGTGGTTTGACTTTATCTCTTACATTGAATGACGCATGCGCACGTCATGTCAATATATAAAACTGTGTACACGGAACAATTCGAATGTCATTTCTATTAAACTAGTCATATTTACATGCAGTCCACTGACTGTACGAGTAATAATTATTTAGACAATCATGAATGTAAGTGGCGACCATGTTTATGGAATGAACGTTTAGTATAACATCACACCTTGGTATTGCACCTTGTGCCAGTGATGCCCCCAATCTGTCAGTATTTAGTGGGTAATACTATCTCACCGTAATGAGTGATTATCCCATGTCTGTAGTAACCCAAGTGGGCGAGTATCCCATGTCTGTAGTAACCCAGGGGGGGGGGGTGAGTATCCCATGTCTGTAGTAACCTAGGTGGGCGAGTATCCCATGTCTGTAGTAACCCAGGGGGGGGGTTAGTATCCCATGTCTGTAGTAACCTAGGTGGGCGAGTATCCCATGTCTGTAGTAACCCAGGTGGGCGAGTATCCCATGTCTGTAGTAACCTAGGTGGGCGATTATCCCATGTCTGTAGTAACCCAGGTGGGCGAGTATCCCATGTCTGTAGTAACCTAGGTGGGCGAGTATCCCATGTCTGTAGTAACCCAGGTGGGCGAGTATCCCATGTCTGCAGTAACCCAGGTGGGCGAGTATCCCATGTCTGTAGTAACCCAGGTGGGCGAGTATCCCATGTCTGTAGTAACCTAGGTGGGCGAGTATCCCATGTCTGTAGTAACCCAGGTGGGCGAGTATCCCTTGTCTGCAGTAACCCAGGTGGGTGAGCATCTCATGTCTGTAGTGACCCTGGTTGGAGATTATCCCATGTCTGTAGTAACCCAGGTGGGCGAGTATCCCATGTCTGTAGTAACCCAGGTGGGCGAGTATCCCATGTCTGTAGTAACCTAGGTGGGCGAGTATCCCATGTCTGTAGTAACCCAGGTGGGCGAGTATCCCATGTCTGTAGTAACCCAGGTGGGCGAGTATCCCATGTCTGTAGTAACCTAGGTGGGCGAGTATCCCATGTCTGTAGTAACCCAGGTGGGCGAGTATCCCATGTCTGTAGTAACCCAGATGGGCGAGTATCCCATGTCTGTAGTAACCCAGGTGAGCGAGTATCCCATGTCTGTAGTAACCTAGGTGGGCGAGTATCCCATGTCTGTAGTAACCCAGGTGGGCGAGTATCCCATGTCTGCAGTAACCCAGGTGGGCGAGTATCCCATGTCTGTAGTAACCCAGGTGGGCGAGTATCCCATGTCTGTAGTAACCTAGGTGGGCGAGTATCCCATGTCTGTAGTAACCCAGGTGGGCGAGTATCCCATGTCTGCAGTAACCCAGGTGGGTGAGCATCTCATGTCTGTAGTGACCCTGGTTGGAGATTATCCCATGTCATGGTAGCCCTGGTGGGTGATTATCCCAGGCAAGTAGTGGCCCTGGTTGGTGATTATCCATGTCTGTAGTGACTCTGCTGGGTGATTATCCAATGCCAGTCATTAACTTTTGTGCTATGGTGTTAGTAGTGACCAAAACGGTGGGTGTTTATCCCATATTAGTGGTGACCTTGGTGGGTGTTCAACCCACGCCAGTCAGTGACCTCAACGGTGGGTGTTTGGAATATAGTGATAGCTAGTTTTTCTGTATTCACCTAAGAATTCACATAGTTGGTATATCTTTAATACATTTGTTAGATATTTCAGTCAAATACAAACTGTAGCATGAAATGCATCAACTTTCTTTACCACCCATGGAAATCAATATAAAACATTGATAATAATAGTTGGTAAAATGGAAAAAAAAGTGTGTCTTACTTTTTCCTGGACCAAAACTACTACATTAGGTAAGTGCAGGAATAAATTCAACATTTCATACATTAAAAGGCACACTCACTTTTCTTGTGAATTGATGATTTTTGAGTTGTGCATATCCAAAATTACGTTATTTCCAATGGAAGTTCGTCGTGACTCACATCAATGATTTCACACATGTTCTAAGAATGTTCGTATCAGTGTATGGCAAATCCATCCCTCTTGTCACACGCAATGGCAGGAATGTTCTAATTGGTCAGAAAGAGCTATTAATATTTTAGATATCTGTGCTGATAGGATAGCATCACAGTCATTGCTTAGAGCTCGTTTGCATTTTACGTAAATGAACAATGTATTTCTTCTATACAGTGACTAAGTTGCACTGGACCCCTATTGAACAGAAGGTTGATGTGCGATGACTTCAGCACTACCGGTACAATGGAAATATGGTACATTTTTGGGGAAATTATTATATTTCACACTTTTATTACAAATTTACAGAAATATTTTTTTTTCAAGGTATTACAAATTTTTCTTGTTGGGGCATTTCACTCGGACACAAACAAATATCGACAAGTACATATAATGGATTGAAAAATATACCATGATGTCTAACTATGCAATACAGGACATGTAAAGTCCCTTCTGGCATTGAACTTGAGCATGATGAAAAAAAAAGCCATTTATATTGAAATGGGAACGTTTTTTGGTAGAGAAAAGGACAGATGTACTGGACTTATCAGGTCATCGTAATAAAAAAATGTGCGTTCTTCTTTAATTCTTGAGAGGTAGACATGGAAACACATTTTTTTTAAAGGGCAGTGATCATTGCAATGTTTATCATAGGTTCATAATTTTTTCTCCCAAAATTTGAGTGCAAAAATTATGCTTATTTTTATGAGTTTTTCCGTGATTACTTATTGGCTGAGATCTTGATTAAAATTTGGGAAGCAATATGAAAATTGAAACGTGTGTTTTATTTAGTGAAAGGTGACAAATGGTACCTTTGGGTTTTGGACATATTTAGTGGGAACATTTTGAAAAACTCTCTGCTTATGTACAAAAAACTGCAGTGAAATTCACGCTACAAACAAATTTCATCCCATTCCTCTCTCCCAAAAAAAGTATTAAAAAACAAAACAAATAAACAATTCTAAATAAGGTAATGTTTTTTTTTTAGTTTCCATGATTGTAAAAATTTGTTGATGTACAAAATATTTCAATTAATGTACAAAGGTGATTCTTTACAGTGTTTATACAAAAACACTGCAATAACTTACAAATCAAAAATAGTTACATAATTTGGTTATTAGCATTAGATTAGCATACCAGAATAAATACGCACAGTATAAAAACAAGTCGACTTTACAGACATAATTCGTCACACCCCCCCCCCCCTAAAAAAATCTGTTTCAAATCACACGAACCAGGCTGCTCTGCTCCAATCACTCGTCAGCGGTATATGCTACAATCAACGATATCAGTTTGTTTCATTACGACCGTAACTTCAGCTATTAAATCGGATGCTATGTAGAAACATACACATCTGAATAAATATCAGTATTATTTGATTATTTCAATGCTTAATACACTGGCATATCAATTTTCAAACAGTGACATTTAATATACTTCCGCAACCCGCCCTCCAATACTGTTAAATAATTAAAATATATGTGTAATTTATCCATATTCATAAAAAAAGAATATTACTAAGCACCTTGTATTGCAATCATTGCAATGACATTGCATTTACCATAGTTTTCATGCCAAATACCCCATTAAAAAAGAAATTAAAATATGTATGAATGAAAAAATGTTATGTATCTTGTTGGCAGATATTTTTTGCTATTTCTGAAAGGTTTAATAAGTTAATAACACACATAGTGTGGTGGTATATATATTCAGATGTTGATAAAAATCTGAACAAGTTTGAGTCATTTTTCCATAATAAGGTTTCCAATATTCAACAATTATTTAAAAAAAAAAACAAATAAAAAATTAATGATAAAAAAAAATGATGCTGTTAAAAAAAAAATAATGATGAGGAAATAATAGTCATTAGATTCATGATTATATTAATATCATTACATAAATTTAAAATGCTGTTGAAATTTAAAATGCTGTTTCCTGAATAACTTTAATATTGAAAGGAACTCACGCTGGTATTTTCTACTACTTCACCCACATGATTGATGCATAACATGATTCCACCCGAGGTTTTCCCCGTGCCAGGTGAGATTCTCTGGACATCGAATCTGCTAATCGTTCTGCCATCAGCAACATCGAAAAAGGCACTGCTCATTTTTTTTTTATTTGAATCAGCATCATCTTCAGCTTACAATCTTTGGAGTTCCTTCAGCTAGCTTCTTTCGTAGTACATTAACAAGTCTTTCCAATCTGTCATTTAAGAAGACAAAAAAAAGAAAAGAAAAAAACTTACAATGGAAGTAGTGCTAAGGTTAGAGTTCACATCGAAGGGCTGTTACACCCAGTGTCAACACCATTATACTCTGTCATAAAAAAAAAAAGTGAATTGGTTGTCAGGGCCATTGTTATGCCAAAGTGGTGTCAGAGTGCTTCAAGTACCAACGTCATTACGTGCCTAGAGCGACAAGTATCAATAAATAAAATTAACTACAGTATTGTCATTAAATAGAAAGTCAAATAACACATTAATACGTTAGCCCTGCAGTAATTGTGAGCATAACTGTAACTTTTTTTTTTTTTATGAATGAAAGATAAAATTTGAGGGAGATTAGTTTTAAAACACTTAATGGGGAGGAGTTTCGGATTAATTCTGTGTACACCATGATTAGTGGCTTGATTGATACCGACAACACATTTTCCGTTGAGAATTGTTGGGAAATTGGAGCAACGAGTTGAAAAGACGTGCAATAATTGGCAAAATTAACTATGATTGAAAACTTCTCTGAGTTTCTTCAGACTTGGATGTCTATTAACACCCACAATGGACTGAGTCGCAGAGATTTCTCATGGGTTTAAAACAGTTGACAGGACACAAGCAATGGTTATGGCTAAAGTTCACGTGTTTGCTGCAGGCAGGACTACAACACATCACTGGATTTAAATGCTATAAAAGGACACTAAGTTCTTAAGCAAAGAATTTTATTCTAAAACAAATTAGGGTTGGGACGGCGAGTGAAGCTCGCTCAACTGTGACTATTTCTGTGGGTAGTTCATTTTGTTAGAAGCACGGTAACAACAAACACGCCATAATTTACACAACGTACTACACATCTCTGCTGCAAAGGTACTGGTACATGTAACAGCAGAGTCGTGTTTTATTTCCATTCATCCACCGGGGCTTGCGAGGCCGTCAAGATGGAATTTCACAACATCTGTGAATTTACCTTTACACAACGGAAAGGGAGTGCACGATAGAGAAGGTGGTATTTTGTAATGAATGGCTAGTCGGTGTTATATCGGTCTTACGTTACACGACTTTTCTGGTACACATAAATATTATTTTTTTTTTCAAAGCAAGGTTTGTAAGAATCAGGAGTTAAACCTGAATGAATTTACAATGTTTTTGTTGGACATACATCGTCAGGCGGCTTTTCATGAGATGCAGGATTATCGGATCTGTTATTACAAGCTGCTTATTCATATCTCCTGCGTAAAAATACACTTAGAGCATAGCTTGGGGGTAGATGGGACGGGAAAATCATACAATACAAGCCGACAATCCGTACGACAAGCTGACGTAAGACAACAGCATTAGTGACTGCACTGATGAATACAGATGCAATTAGCCGGCCATACTCTCGGATGATGTTACCTTTATCTCGTACACACTTAATACAAGCGTGAAACTTGATACATCACATGCAACAGTAACGTGGGCCAGGCCCCTCGCCCAGAAATTAGACAACGTATGTTAAAACGTGTACAGTCACACATAATTAAACTCGTTCGGATCACACAACAATTTGTTAATCATCGGGAATTGTCACCTGAAAAGTGGACTATGTTTAAGTAGTCAATTAATTAACTAATTGATATGCAATTGAAAATTCAACAAGGTCTGCATTACTTTGAAGCACGGTCTCAAGATGGGCTATAATTGTTTAATTAATAATCAAATGAGCTAATTATTATGCAAGGATATGCAACCAAACATGATTTTTTTTTTATTGCTACTGTAGTTTCTGTCAAATAACGCCTTTAGTGTAAACGCATGAGTGAATGATATTTAACTATCCTGCAAATTACCTCACAACATAGATTGACTGCCGGCATGAATTACGCTATTCTTTTTGACAAAAAGATTGTTTACATCACACAATGTACAACAGTTCATCATGTCCAAACAGGTGGTAGGGCAGCCAAGCAATTTAAGAGCATAAAAACAGAGAATCGTGATCACCAACAACCAGTATCACACAATGTACAACAGTTCATCATGTCGCAAACAGGTGGTAGGGCAGCCAAACAATTTAAGAGCATAAAAACAGAGAATCGTGATCACCAACAACCAGTATCTTTGTGCTATTCTAGTGTTCTATGAAAAAAACTCTTCAAGCAAAACACAAAAACTGTAATCTATAGCATTTTTTTTTTTTACACTGGTTCACAAAGAAAAGAATAAACAAAAAAGTGTTGTGTATCAACCACAAATAGGTAATCATGTTTGTTTTTTTTCAGCAAGTTTTTTTTTTTTTTGTATGAAAGCAAGTTTCTGGTTGTAGTAGTGCTGGTATATCTGGCAAGGGACATCAAATATTGGTCATGATTAATACTTATCAGCATGAAGGATAATTAACATAAAAGTCAAGAATAATTTGCAAATGAATGTTACACATCATTAGCATATCAATAAACTCCATGGTTGGAAGAATCTATCCAAGTTCTTATAAAAGTTTATAAATTTATTTATGTTTATAAACAAAATTCTGTAGATCTGAAAAAGTTAAGCAAATTTACTGGATGTCACTTACGCCATAGAAATAAAGTTTTAGTTCCACACTCACGCCTAATAAACAATACTGTTGGAAGACAGGTGTACCAATATATAGGGATGTAAGATGTAATTCATCTGACAATGAAGACAGTTTGCATTATAAAATGCATGCATGATGAACTGACTGCGAGTCCTTGTGATAGAAACCAATGAATCAATTCAATTTGAGAGAAAAAAAATTAGATGAGCATTTAAAAAAACATTAGATGAGCCGTCAACTCAAAAAATATACCAATCCCAAATTGAGTCGAACGTTGGCAATGATTTAGAAGAAGAGGGTTGGCAACTTTCATAACCATGTACAGTGATAATATGTGATGTAGATTTCACGAAATGCAAACTCTTGCAATTTGCCAATATTCTAAAGCAATTCCATTCCATGTGCGTCAATCGGATACAGTTCTCACCAATTGTCTCACCAAACGAATATTACATGCTTTGCAATTAATTGGGGACACTATCAATAATGATCTTGCGACTTTGTGAATCATATTGCTATTTGGGTGATTTTATTTTTAATTCGCTTGTGATCATTATACCTTATTAAACCCTTGCATACCCTCACATATTATAAATCCGTGACATTAGTATATATTATAAGTCAGAACAGTAACATGAAAAGTTAAATATATCCCATATGACGCTATATATATTAGAAATATTTAAAATTAATTAAAAATTAAAATTAACCTATAGCATTTTTCTGAAACAACATCAAATTTTCGTTTAAATAAGTTGAATCGTATCTTGCTCAAGAGCTTAGGATACCTTCAACATGATAGTTGCGTTCACGTACAGCTCCTTAGCACGGGCTAAGAGGTCAAATTCCTTAGCCCGTGCTAAGCAAACGTGCGTGAACGCTTAGCACGGGCTAAGGAATGCTAAGTACGGGTCTGATCCGAATTTAAGACGCAGTCTAGACCCTTAGCACAAGCTAACGAAGTGTGCGCGAACGCTTAGCCCTGGGCTAAGTGCCCTCTGCAGCGACCTTTGGGTGTGAACATTATGCATGTGATCAAATATATCCAACTTTCTCATTCCCAAAATGGCAACCGAGCTCAGTTTACATGCTTCCACACTGATCAGGTCGCTGTAGTAGAGCGTACAGCAGCTCCAATCGTAGACAAAATAAATTTGGTTCGCTGTCTACGACATGCATTAATAAAACTCTGTATTCTGTTACCCCGTTGTATACTGTTTCTGTGCATCCAAATAAGTTGGGTCCGTCTTCTCTCGCATTCCTGTGCACGTCCCTTCAAAATTAGAATATAGAAAATAGAAATAGAACCTCGCGCGTGTCATCCATTTTTTGTTCGTAAATAGCGGCTTGCCAAAGGTCACCAACTGATGGTGCCGCTTAGCCCGTACTGACGACTGGCCCTCCCTGTGCGTGGACGCAATTGGATCTAGCCGAAATGCAAATATGCTAGATAAGCCTAAATCAGCTTAAATCTTAGCCCGTACTTCGTGTAACGTGAACACAACTAATAATTCAGTATGCAAATGAGAGCATTAAGTCTAAAATAAACATTGAAGCCAATAACAATCCCCATCCAGTTTTTTAATGACTGTCATTATTAGTGCCAAATAAGTATTAACACACTATTTTTTTTTTTTTATTTATTAATGCATAAGTTGCATGGAAATGATGATCAGCCAATTTGTATCAGATTCAGAAACAGATGCATGTTTAAATGATACTACATGGTGTATTTGTAAAATTTGATCAGTCCAGCTCAGCTATATTAGCAATATAGCTCTAAAGTTAGCAATCATTGAAAACAAAATGGCCATCAGTCAGCCATTTTGAAACAAATCAGGGAAAAAATTATAAGCATCAAGGACCCTTTATCTTTAATGGACATACAAGTTTGAATGAAATATGTCCATATATGACCGAGATCAAATTCCGTCAATGGCAAGAATGCTTGATTTTGATAAATTCTTAGCAGTAAAAGAGTATCAGAAGAGGCAAAATTAGAGAATTGGGCATGAAAAAAAGTTTAGATCTTTCAAGATTGAAGAGATATTACAATACAAAATATTTAACTGATGTTGTTCATAAAGAGAAAACAATTACAAAAGGTTTCATACTGATATCATGACTGAGAGATGGAAAATACTGGTACCAGCAAGAAAAAATTCAATACAAGATCAATTGATGTGCTACAATGAGCTACCCGGGTGAAGTTCGAATGAAAAGCTGCATCAAAGTTCATCCATCCCCTCAAGCTATTTTGGCAAAAATATAAATTTGTTGTTACCTGTGAAAATTGTTTTTCCAACAATCTGGAATTAATTCTATTTTTTTTAAGAGTGCAGAACTGAATGATGCTTTCTATGTTCTACTTCAATCAGCATGTTTTTGAGAGAAGTGTGTAAAACGATGCACTCGTTTAGATTGACAAATTCGTCTCTAGTTTTGGAAATTCACAGAAATGTAAAAATAGGTTAAGTACAATAAATAATGATAAATTCTGGTTGAAGGGGACAAGAGGTGAAAACAAATTAAATACTGTGACACAGAAGACAAAAAAGTACCCGGCAGAGAAAAACTAATTAATTACCACACTACCAGCACAAAACAGTCTCAACAATGAAGTAGCCATGGATACCATACTCTAACAATCAAAATAACAAAATAAATAGAACATCTGTGAATTCTTTTTTCAAGGTCAATCACAGGTCGAATCACAAAAAAAAGAAAGAAAAAAGTGTGTGCTTTATTATTAAAATTCAACTCACTTTTCAGTTTTTCCCGCAGCTTCTTTCTGAGACTGGAGGGACTGTTGATACTGTGTCATTAATGCATTTCTTTCAGCCAGGGCCTGCTGGAGATGCGCAGCCAGATCGTTTTGGTCCTTCTGTGATTTCACTAAAAACTCGTCTCTGACTTTGATCTCATCTTCAAAACTTCCTAATGTGTTGTTGAACTGATCTCGTAGACTCTGCTCCTGGGACAACGACTTGTGAAGACTGTAGAAGAAAAGTTTTAAAAAAAATATTATTTTATTGCATTCAAAAACGACATTATGACCCCCTCCCCCCTCCTGTCAACTAATTTTATTTACATTAATCAAATTAATTAAACCACTGTTGTAAGTTTCAGTTGATTGGAAATAGATTTATGCTATCAATGAATGATTTTATATAATTTCTAGAGGTAAACAAACAAACAAGCAGCCTCTCGGCTGAGATAGCTCCGCTGTTAGCAATGCACATTTCAGTTAAAGAACAGAAGATATCATTAGAAAATGAACAATATGCATAGTATCAATGCAATGGGACTTGCTGTTTTCAACAAGAATTCAAAAATATCATTTTTCACCATAAATGATTGTGGTTTTTAACAAGAAGAAAATATCACTTTTTACCAGAAATGACAAAAATATTCACCAAAATTAGAGAATTAAAGATATCATTACAAAATGAATAAATCTGAGAGAGGTCCACATGTAGTACCTATAT